CGTCCTTAAATTTCCGGTGTCAATCAAGCAGTTTTTGCTCCACTAGTTCTTCATCTGTAAGCCCGCTTTCCTACCCACTAAGCTCGCTTTCCTTTTCCTCAATCATTCGGTTAATTTTGTATAGGCTAGTCATAAAGGCAACGGTATTAGGCTGAACCAGGTTCCGGTAGAATCCTACAGCGCCAATACAGCAGACATCAACTAGTAAAAGGTCCGTAGGTTTCTTTAGCGTCTATTAGGCCGTGGTTTGCGGTATAGGGTTTATAGTCTTCCTCAGCTCACATTCCATTTTCCGTAAGTTGTCCTTCCTATCTATTAGTTCAGTATAGCGTCCAATATCCCTGGCTTTCCTTTATAGCTTTATAAGGTTCTCCATAGGGAACTTAGCTAGGTCACTACCAACTTCCTAGGTCTCTAGTGCAGGTGGCATAACATAGATAGTCTAGGGGCGGCATAGTATACAGATCCGTTGCGGGTCAAGCTATACATCCTTCTCAAAGGCCTAGTCTCTACGCATAGCATCGGCCTAGTAAATAGTATTAATCTAGGGCCGTACAAGGTTTTCCATTATAATGCTAATTTCTTTTATAAAGGAAGGGGTTAGGGGTAGAGTTTCGGGCCAGATAAGCCGTCTACTCCGTACTTTAAGCTACAAGCCTAAATAGGCTAGCCATTTTCTTCCTAAGATTATATCGTGGCTTCCTAAGTCCGTAATAAGAAAGGGGACGTTATACTACCTTTATCCGTCAACGCGGAGGTAGATCCGCAAGATAGTTATAATAGGTGGCCCTATCCATCCGTTATAACCGCAAATAGGGATTAGTTTAGGCAGTTCTTCAAGGGGTGCATTTAAAAAGTCAGCCAGTTTTACAGCGCACTTTATATCAATTAAGGTAAAGGCATTTACTCCTAAGTCAGCTAAAGCAGAGGTTAAAACTTAATATCCATTGCGAAATAAAGTATAAGGGATAGTGCAGCTTCTTTTACCAACTAGCCGACCCAGATCGATATATAACATATCAATCCCTTTTAACCCTAGAGAGGAGTCTTCCTCTAGGGTTCCTCTTTTTCTGGCTCCGTACTGTCCTCCTAAATTAATAGAACCTTATTTATCCTTACCTTTATTAGGCAGTTCCTTGCAGGGTAGCCTATTTAACCGTACAAAAAGCAAGCTCCTTAATCGCTAAGGGCCTATATACAGGGGTCGCTATATATAGGCCGGGTGTACACCGGGCCCGCAGCAGGGGTAGCTACGCGGCCAGCTACCAGGTTAGCTGTAAGAGTTGCCAATTATGCCAGGGCACTACGGGCCGTACTTATAGTACTTACGGCCTGGTTTGCAAGGTTTCTAGTTTTCAGCCAGTCAGCGCATGCCTTAATTCGACGGAGGCCTTAGTCAATAGCTAGGCAATAGTCCATAAGTTCCTTTAACGTCTATGCCATAGTATAAGCTAGCAATACGGCCCGCTGTAGGTCCAGGGTAAGCTTATCAAAGAGGTCTAGTAGTAGGTCTTCCTGGGGGATCTAGGCCTGTCCGGCCAGGTATAGAAAGCGGGTTTAAAAGGCCAAAAAGGTCTCCGTTATTTTCATATTTAGGCTTTTATAGCCAAGGCAGGCATTCTATACTTTAAAAGGGTCCTCATAAATAGAAGACAAGTATTTAATCATTTCTTCTTTAGAGATAAAGGGGTCTGCTAAGTCTTTAGTGTATCACGGGCGTAAATGCGTCTAGGCGTCTCCGCCAGTACGGCCGAAGACATAGGCCATTCTGGCTCGGGCGTTAGGGAAGTAGTCTGCATTAACTTCAAGCTTATCCCATAATTAGAGCTTCCAATTATCAAATATAGGGTTGGTTCCGTCTGTAAGTAGTAGGGGGTCCGTGACCTTTGCTAACCGCTTCAGTACTGCATAGGCCTCGGTAGATCCACTAAGGCGCTAAAATAGGGCCTAAAGGACTATAGTAAGTCTTTAGTTATCTAATAATGACTCATTATTAGATATAGGGGTATCTCTAGCTTCAAGCAGCTCTCGCAATTATTCAATTTCGGCATTAGCAGCCGCAAGCTCCGCCTAGGGGGTTAAAACATTAATTATTTCTTCGTCTAAAGTATTTAAGGGTCCTACAGCTGCTTTACCTACAGCTATAGTTCGTGGCATAGTAGTAGGGGTATTAGATAATTCCGGGTAATTTCTTCAAGGGTTCTAGTCTGTGTGTGTCTTATAGGTCCTTTCCTTAGGGTTCTGTTCTTTTCTTTTAGGTCCTATCCTTGTAGTCCTAGTGATGTCCTTAGGGTCCTATTCTGTATTCTCGTAGATATATTTAAGTTCCTTCTCAGGAAAAAAGAGTAGAGTAAGCTTTAGATAATATTAGCGACTTAGTCAATTGAGGCATAAGCACGGTATAAGGGACGTGCAAGCCTATACAATTAGATTGTCTATAAACNAGAATCTAAAGCTAAAGAAAGGAAAGGAGAAGAAGGGGAGCGCCGCTCAAAGCTATATACGATCTTCGCGTCACATAACCGCAATATGCGGCAATCTATAGCAACTTGCCAGTGCGTAGTTCTGCCAAGTTCTGCCAGTGCCATAACACTTCATAGTAGTAAATTAAATATAAGACCCTATAACAGATTACTTAAGGAACTTAAAGACTATTAAGAGTTATAGGGCGCGTATATTTAGCGTTAGAAACAGAGCAAACATCGTAAGACAATTAAATATTTGCTTTAGTACACTCTAAATAAGAGGATGGTTGCTAAGATAAAGGACTTGCTAGCGTAATATAAACTAACCCCTCTTTTATACAACGAGAATAAGGAGACGGTATTATTTTACCCAGCAATAATATAGAGGCAACTATACGCGCACAACAAAGGGTTAAAGAAGAAGAAATTGCTTTAGGTATTATAAGTAATAATATTAACCAAATTAATTAGACGGATATTACACCTCTAGTAAACAACTTAGAGATACTAGAAATCTTTAAGGATAAAGATAGAGAGGAGGGAGATAGTGTTACGGATGCTTTAAGTACAATATTATAACTACTTAAAGAGGAGTTAGAAGAAGCTAGCTAGTTAATAAGAGTACGGTCTAAGATAGATCTGGTAAAGCTATATAATAAGGAATAGTAACTAAGGTTATATAATATAATCTATATAATCTATAGGATCTATATAATCCGTAATAGAGTAGATAGAGCGCACGTATATTACGTATAAGAAGGATTTTATAGGAGTACGGTTGTGTATTTAAGGACCCTTAGTCCCTACCTAGATAGTTCCTTCCTTATAGTAATTCTCAGAATATAATTAGAGTTAATCTATTAGGCAACCACTCCACCAGTTGTTATTACGTTGTTAACTACTGTCTTTGCATTTCCTACACACCTAGCCCATTAACGAGCCCATCGTAGTTCCTGCTACAAGGTTCCGTTACAGTAGGCCTACTTTACCAATTATTATAAAACGCTACTACTAGAGATGCGTATTAGCAACTAGGTATAGCTAGATATACGTAATATCTCTATATAAAGGCCTATAAAGTTACTTAATTATAAGAACCTTAGCCCCTATCTAATTAAACAAGTTATTAATAGGGGAGCTGTATATAAGCTAGAACTCCTACCTACCCTAGCCACCTATAAAATATAGCCTATATTTTACCTATAGCTACTACACCTCTATTAGCCTAACCCCTTACTAGGGTAGATATAGCCTAAACCCTTATTAGTACTAATTTAAGATAAGAATAAAGATAAGAACCACAAGGAGTAGACTATTAAATAAATTATTAACTCTAAATACTTTAGCAAAGGCAGAGGACAACGGCTTTACTATAGAGCTATATATATAGGATTTAATATAGATTAGCTAGAATAGCAACTATAGAAAGACTTTAAAAATATAAAGGATTTAATTAGCGACTTTTATTACGCAAACTTATAAAAACTAGGCTTAAGCAAAGACTTTATACCTAATCCTCTATAGGAGCCCTTATAGAGTTAAACCGTTATATATTACCATATAAGGGCAAATTACCATTAAATTACCGTTAGATTATAGTAAAGTACGATTATATAACCGGAATATTATTAAAATATTTAGGAACTTTAACCGGCGGTTAAAGTTATCTAATTAATTAGATTTTTAGACGCCAAGCCCTATTATATAATATTATTTTCTTTAGCAATACCCCCCTTTTTCTTCTTTTCTATACCTTAAGTGTCCCTTTTATATATATATAGTAACCACAGCGTCGCCGGAGCTCCGCCTCTATAGGAGGGGGGGTAGTGTTATAGAACCCCACCGCAGGGGCCTCTATAGGAGAGCCCCGTGCTCTTGCATACACCTCGCGTACAGCTTATGTCAGCTACGCGTAGGTATATCACCTCCTTACGCCCTCGACCCTTACGATTGATCGCGCAACGTCTTGTAGACTCCTTAAATACATACGCTTTATAGCCACTGCCCCCGTCCCGTGACACGCAGTATACCTCCTAAGAGGCGGTCTGCCTTTCGCTATTCTCTTACACTTACGATCCTAAATTATAATTTTAAGACGATATGCCCAGAACCGCTTATACTCCGCGATTAGTAGATCTAAATATACTGGTAAATTCTCGCCTAGTTTAGCTATGTGTGCTGCCTCTCCCTCAACACATACTTCTTATAATTCTGCACTTTTTGCTTAGCTAAACTCGTCTACTTTTATCGTTAATTTTATCTTACCCACCCGAATAAATCTGTAGCCTTCCGCAAGGTGGGCATATATATTTTCCGTTAGAGGTAAGTTTATAATCGGCGATAGGAGTCTTCTAAATAATCTTACCAAGCGCCCAGAGACCTGTATCTGCTCTGGCAATGCACGGCTAGAGCTCCCTTAAGCCAGTTCTAAAGAACTGTAGTCTTCGTCCTCGCCGTCCATTTCGTGATCGAGTAGATCCACTTTTCCCTTTTAAAACTTTGGCCCGACTTTGAAGACCTGATCAAAAAAAATTTTGCATCAGCCGCGAATCGAAGGCGGGGCCCATCGATGGCAACGATGGCTATCAAATTAACTTTCCACTTTAAGTAACTATAAAGTGATTGGTAACTTACATTTTACCACTAAACCACTGATACTCTAGTACTTCTCTTTTTGAATTAAAGATATTTTATATACAAATGTAAGAAGCGTGCCGGCTTTTATTATTTCTTTCCTCCCGCCTACCCACTCACACCTCCTATTCTATCTACTAAACGTAGCATAGTAACTCCGTAAAATTATATAGCTATGTACAAGTCTTTTCTACCCTTTCTTGACTTAATAGTACTATGTATAGATCATATTAGTCTGCAAAACACCGCCGCGACTAGTATCCCATACGTAGTCAAGGCGCAATAAAAATGTAGTCCGTGCGCGAACACCAAAACATTAACAAATATCTCCACTATAGAAACTATATAGCTTCCTACCTTAATTATATTACTATAATAGGTCGTAAACGTACTTCTAATAATATAGATCTTGTGCAACCTAATAAATATATTATTTTAAAGAACAAGCGGGCTAAAATTCCACCGCTAGAGCCCTAGCTACTGCTAGAATTTAATCCCTTACCTATTAATCTTTCTCTTACCAATGGCGCTTTAGATCTACCACCTTATATAGATCCTACCGATCCTCTTGCCTTATTTAAGCTTATATAGACAGATAATTTACTTAAAGAGCTAGCAGTTTATATAAATGAGTATATAAAGCTTTATCCCTACTAAGAATATAAGGATAAAAGGAGAAAGTTTAAAGTCCTTATAAATAGAAGCTAACTACTATAAGGGAGTTTCTTACATACTTGGCAGTAATAATTTATATAGGGCTATTACTGGAATCGGATATTAAGGACTATTAGAAGACAACCTATAAAAGAGGAGTTAATTATTTTTATTAGTCACATAGGGTGACTTACCAATAACGACTACTCGAGTAGGTTACAGTGATGTTAGTTAATATACTTATTTCATTGGAATGAGGAAGGGCGAGGAGCTTAAGACTCCTCGCTACACTAGTGCGGCGGCGACACGTGACGACCGCTTACCTCATTCCCGACACTAGCAACTCTTCTTTTATAGTTGCCATCTATATATATAAATACTGCTTAACTAGCGTACTAAATATTAATCCTCCTTACTTACTATTGCTATTATAATATAAGTCTCGCTGTCCTAAAATTTGCCTCTTAGCACGTAGTGCTTTCTTACTTAGAAGTCGTAGGTGGATATTATATTAGGGCCGCCAGGGCGCTAGTTATAAGCAAGCCAATAGCGATTTTCCATCCTGGGGATAGAAAATCCTAATTGGCTAGTTAAAGTCAGGGTCCGCAGAATATCGCAGGTGGCGTACTCCAGCATTGTCACAGCACTGACCTGACGTATACTGTTTCATACTGTCTCGTACTATTTCCTACTGTTAGCTAGCCCACCACTAGTGCCTTAGCGGCCGGCACTACTATTTGTATACAATACCCCCTTTTTACCTTCTTCTCCTCTTCATACCACAACGTAGTTATTTAGTCTACTTCATTACAGCACTATAACAGTTTGTGGTATCTTTAATTTGCGCCCTATTATAATCACTAATTCCCCATACCCTAGCCAATTAACCTCTACCCTAGAGTAATCGCGACCTACACACACCTCTACTAAAACCAACACGTCCCCAGCATAGTCCTAAAACAATCCTTAGTTTTTACCTAGCGCCTAAATAGACAATACCAACGACACTAAAATAGCCAAAACCTAGAACCCCCACGACGTTTTTATAGACCTCTTTATATAGACATACCCCAATATCGCGTAAACAATCTACCGCTCCCTACCGTACCCTAAGATCTTTAAGCCTAGTAAAGCTTACCTTACCCTTATTAACTATACTAATAAGTTCCTTAACAATATTAAAGTAGGACTATAGTATATATATAACACAAACACCGCCAATAAAAAAGCTAATAAAAACCTTAGTACCCTTATTGCTTCCTAAACAGAAACTATTAACTCCTAGGCAGAGACTATCGCCGTTCTAAAACAATTAACTTTTACAATAATAGTAGTAACCTAATAGAAAAAACGGAGGTCTAAAGACCCGCCAATATTTAGCGGAAAAGGCACCCCGCTAGAACAATAAGCTAATTTTAAGACTTAGCATATTAAGATTAAGGGAGTCTTTAACTATAACTAGGACTACTTTAACACAGTTTAGTCCTAGATCCTTTACATCTCGGATATGCTAAAGAATAAGGCCTATAAGTTTATTAAATAGGGCCTAGAGCTTATACACGAGAACCTAAACAACACATTTATATAAAAATGGCCCGCTAAAGAAGATATACTTAAAGACCTTACTACCCACTATAAGGTCCTTAATATAACCCAGGTCGCAAAGAATAAGCTTAACTATTTCCCCTAGGGCAAGCGTAATTACTAGTCCTAGAAGGGAGAGCTTAATAAGCTAATAGTCTGTATTAAGAAGACAGATAAACAGAAGGTAGACCTACTCTAAAAGTTTATCTCTCCGAAAATAGAAGAGCTAGTACTTAAACTTGCCCACGAAATTAATAATAGCAACTATATAGGTTAGAATAAGCAAATAGATATATTCGCTAAGAACCTCGCAAACTATATACACCAAGCCAACCTTAAGAAGAACGCTAACCACCGCCTACCTACTTAAGCCCCTGCCCCTATATTAACCCCAACCCTAGCAGCAACTAGAGAACCTATAGACCTTAATAGAATCTTAAACACGGAGCGTAAGCGCCGCGTTAATAATAGATTATACCTTGCCTATAGCCTGCCTAGCTACTAGAAGGACGCCTATAACCCTACTAAGACAGTAAACCTAGTCCTAATGCCACCCCATTAAACAATAAGAACTAATAACCGCGGATATAGTAACCGTAGAGTCTATTATAGACGCGGCAACTACAGAGCCTATTATGGCCGCGGCGGATAATCCCCCCCCCTTTAACCCTATAGCTTAGTTACTCCAAATAATACCCTATATAGGAGCCCAACCCGTTAACAACGCCTAGCATTAGTGACTCTACGCTAGCAAATACAAACACGACTAGACCTTCACCGCACATGCAACCTTACCAAAAGGTAGCGCCACACTCTAAAACTTACGCATACCCATCTTACCATCAAAAACCGCCTAGCGAGCTAGAGGTGGATTTTTTGTCATTTTACCCCCTTATCCCAACAGAAAATTTTCTCCTAGGGGTGGTCCTAGCTTATAAGCGAGGCACGGACAGGAACACTAAACCACTACTACTACCAACCAATACTAATACCAATAGGGTAGTCTTTCTACTCCTTTTAGCCTAATCTCCCCAGAAATCTTCTAGTAGGATTAGTAAGGAGAAAGGTATAAGGGTAGGAAAAAAAAACTAGGAAACCCCCCTATAAGATGCCAAAGTCTAATAGCATAAAAAAAAAACCTCCTATAGAAATAAGTGATAATGAGTCTATGACTACATTCACTTTTTTCTGCCCTTTCTCCTTCTCCTGGCCTATTTGGGACAGGAGAAAAAAGAGGACATCCTCAGTCTTCTACTGAAAAAGAAACCAAAAACCTGCAAAAAAGACAACAAATTAATGACTTTTACGGCTGGTATACCTAGTATATCTTTCCCTCCCCTTTCTCCTAAACAACAACCTATAAAAGGCCTAAGAAAGCCTAATACAGGCCTATAAAAGGCTAGAAGAAAAAGAAAAGAAGAAGAAAAAAAAAAAGGAAGAAAAAGAACAAGTTAAACAGCTAGAGGACTATACACAGAGTATTCTAGCAGAGAAAATCCCTTTATAAAAGGAAAGGAAAAGCAACAAGAATATCCTTACAAGGATTAGTCGAAGAAGTAAGAGCTCTCCGTAAGGAGGTAGCTCCTACTATAAGGAAACCTACGCAGAGAGACTAAAGAAAGAACCTCCCTTCCTCGTCCCCCCTGCCCTCCTTTACCAACACCATCTTCCTACCCCTTCTAACTTCTACTAGAAGTAAGAAAAAGCAGTCTATAAGAAAGGAAGCTAGTCCTTAATTACAGACCAAAAAGGACCAACCTCTAGATACCTTCTCTATACGAAACAACAGTCAATTACTATTTTGCATTTAAAACTGCCAAGTAGAAAAACCTGTTTTAGCATTCTATAGCTAGAACTAAAGGAAAAACCAAAATATTCTTCTTATTAACTACGCGAAGGGTATACATACGGATTTCCTAGTTAAATACAAGGAAATCTGGTATAATTGCTTTACTTTTTTAAAGAGGAACAAAAACTAGAACCATGGGTTCAAATTATAGCCCATAGGGTTCCTACCCCTACCTTTCCTAGGAGAAGGAGGCCTCTAAGCTTCTAAAGAAGAAATTGAGACCTTTAATCCTATAAGGATACAAGGACTACCTAGATGGGATCTCATCTAGTGTAAAAAAACACAATCCACAGACCAGATTCGGCTCTATAGTTTTACTATAGAAAACGAAGAAAAAAGACAAGAAATCCTTAAGCAAAAAGAGATATCAATTGCAGGTACAGCTACTAAGGTAGTAAAATACCTCAAAGTCTCTCCTACTACGCAGTGTACGAGCTGCCAAAAATTTGGCCATATAGGAGACAGGTGCTCTACTAGGGCCTATAGATACTATACGGCTGCACATTTATCTAAAGACCATTCCTGTTCTACCTATATAATAACAGGCAAGCCTTACCAGCATACTACCCCTCTTTGCATTAATTGTAAAGAAAAACACTTTACTAATAGTAAAGACTGCAAAACTCTTAAAGCTGCTAAACTAGTACGCGAAGAAGATCTATGGAAGAAAAAAACAGATAGGATTCTAGAAGGAGGCAACTCCTACTAGGCTCTTAAAATGATATTAGAGAGCAAAAGGACAGGGACAGGGGTTAGGATTTCTTATAGTTTTCTTACCATTTTCTCATTCCCTAGTAGTTGTAGTATCTTAGTATTTTACTAGGAAACTATAAACTCCTAATTTAGGGGTTTATAAACTACTAGGACATAGCTACTAGTATATATTAAGCTGCCTAGAAAGGATTTATGTATATAGAACTATAGCGCCATAGCCTAG